TCTAGTCAAAGACTTGTCCATGGTTCTAAGTAAAGCAAGTCAAAGATATCTCCTTTATCCATTACGACAACATCTATGTGAAGACCATATAAAGGGGATCTGGGAATCTGATAGGGTTAGTACACAGAGAGAAAGGTGGTGGTTTCTTCAAGTTTTATATAGGGTTAACAGGAAAATGGGGACTCCACTAGATCTCACAAATCATACGAGACACTGAACAAAAGAAACACTGTTCATGATCACTACAAGATCATCTGCCTGAAGGCAAAGGGCTTATTTTGTAACCACTATGTAACGCGCTGCCACGAATTTAAAAGTGCTTAAGCGTTGGAACAGCTGTCAGTAGGAGACTGGTTTAACACGTGATGGCATCTCTCTAAATGATGGAGGACTACGCAGCTATAAAATGGCATGAGGGGTAACTAAATATTTTGCTAAGGACTGATCGCTAGGCTCTATGGCTAGATGAGCAAAAGCAAGGTGAAGTATGTATGGTATGCTACCATTTTTCTCAAAGGAGAAGGGGATTCCAGTTTCAGTAATGGCAGAGCGACTTGTATCAGACTAACTTTCCTACATATAGCAATGACAGAATCTGGATAAAATATATTTATAAAAGTTACTGAGGGTACTGGAAACTGAAGGGGATTTTACTCTTGCAAGAAAGGAACTGCCCAGGGTAAGATCCAAATTTATACAGCTGTCACTCTGAGGGTCCTTCCCAGTCCACGTAGTGTGAGGCAGCTAGAAAAAGAACAGAAAGTTGCTTGAGATGCCAGGGAGTATGAAGCTGTCAGAAGGGCAAAAAAATGGAGAAAACAAATTCCATAAAGGAGGGACCCTCAGAGGGAGTAGCCACTAACTGGCACATAAAATGTCCTCAAATCCTTAACACGTGCTCCTGAACTGCAACGTGCAGGGGGGACTCCAAGGAGCTCAGTTTGAAAGGTAACAGCTGTACAGTTCAAAGACACGAAATCTCAGCTGCTGGCCATGGTATTGGAGACAGCGTTCAGAGTTGGGGCTCTATCAAGGAAGGCTCTGAAAACACCTCAGGCTGCTCATTACCCCAGAATGGCCACACCTTAGGAGTAAGGACTATGCTCTAGGACAAAGGGATTTGCCTGAGGGCTAAAGGCAAAACTGAAATAAATCTTCCCTAACCAAATATAAGACCAAGCCTCCACAAATTCAGAGTGACTGACTAGTTATTTAACTGCTTGCTAGCAGAAACATCGACACTCTTCAGAGGAATGTAACATAATCCAGAGTCTCTACAATATGTTATATGTAATATTCAGTGTCCAATAAAGATATTCTAGACACGTGAAGGAACAGAAAAATGTGACCCATATTCAAGAGGGACGGCGGTCAATAGAAGTAGACTCTTGAGATAATCTAGATGTTGGAATGAGCAAAAAAGAACTTCAAAGTAGCTGGGCTTCCCCGGTGGCTCAGTGGTTGAGAGTCCGGCTGCCGATGCAGGGGACACGGGTTCGTGCCCCGGTCCGGGAAGATCCCACATGCCGCGGAGCGGCTGGGCCCGTGGGCCATGGCCGCTGAGCCCGCGCGTCCGGAGCCTGTGCTCCGCAACGGGAGAGGCCACAACAGTGAGAGGCCCGCGTACCGAAAAAAAAAAAAAAAAAAGTTAGAATTTAAAAAAAATCAAGCATTTAAACAAAATGATAGTCATTTAATGAGTGATAACAGATGGAGACTATCAGAAAAGAAATGGAAACAATCAAAAAGGGTTTTGAACTGAAAAATACAGTACTTGAAATTTTGGACAGGAGAGACTTAATAGCAGATGGGAGATAATAGAAGAAAGGGTTAGTAAATCTGAAAACAGATCAATAAAAATTAAAAACAAAGAAATAGATCTTCAGTGACCTATGGAACAATATTAAATGGTCTAAAAGAAATGTAACTGGAGTTTGAGAAGGTGAAAACTTTTTTTTTTAATAGACGTTGGTGGGTTGGTATCCCCCCCACACTCTCAACACACATTTTTAAAAACTGAATTATTTTAAAGCAAATTAGAAATTGTCATACCCTATCCTAAGTACTTGTGTGGTCATCTAAGAAAATAAGATGATTTTCCTGCACAGGCACTATAACATTGTAAAAGAGGAGAAAACAGAAAGAATGGGGCCAAAACAAAATTGAAGAAATAATGGCCAAGTTGTCCTCAAATTTGTTAACAACAGCAACAACAATATACAAACTTAAGGATCCAAGAAGCTCAGCAAATTCCAAGCAGGATAAATACAATGAAAGCTACGTTCAGGCACAGAGTCGAACTGCTGAAAACCAAGAAGAAACAAACTTTTGAAAGCAACCAAAGGGGAAAGAGAAGTTACACCACATACAGGGGAAAAATTATACTAATTATGGCTAACTTCTTTTTTCAACACCTAGGGAGTGTGCAAGCATGTACACAAAAAAGATATGAATGGAGACCTGTAGAGATTGAAAGAGACTTAAGAGACACATCAACCACTTGTGAAGTAGAGACAGACCCTTGCTTGGATTATGATTCGAACAAACTGCAAACACATTTATGAGGGCTTCCCTGGTGGCACAGTGGTTAAGAATCCACCTGCCAGTGCAGGGGACGTGGGTTCGAGCCCTCGTCCAGGAAGATCCCACATGCCACGCAGCAACTAAGCCCCGTGCACCACAACTACTGAGCCTGAGCTCTACAGCCCGCGAGCCACAACTCCTGAAGCCTGCGTGCCTAGAGCCCATGCTCCACAACAAGAGAAGCCACTGCAATGAGAAGCCCGCACACCACAGCAAAGAGTAACCCCTGCTCACCGCAACTAGGGAAAGCCCACGTGCAGCAACAAAGACCCAACACAGCCATAAATAAATAAATTTAAAAAAACATTTACGAGATAGCTGGAAAAATGTAAACAGTAATAAAATATCTGATAATATTGAGGAACTATTAATTTTCAGGTGATGTGATGGCTATGTGATTATGATTTTATAAACGGAATTAAAGTGCTTAATCAACCTTGCAAAGATACAGGTTGGGATGACAAGTCAACTTCCTCACTTTAACGCAATGCAAATAATGCTTACAGGACACTGATTAGGCCCATGGGGTTAACTTTAACGGCCGAAATTATTAGTATGATAGAAATGATCTACAATCTTTCGGGGATGAGGCAAGTTTTCTTTTCATAGCTAATACAGATCTCAATTCTGCCATCCACAAAAATGAATTTACCTTTTGTCCATGGTTCACTTTTTATGTCACAGAACATGATCATTGCAAGCGACATTTAAGACAGTTGGCATTCTCAAGTTTCACGTATTTTCTCCTAAATGCCATTTACAGAATACCTCCCTTTCCTTAAAAGCTTATTAAGGATTAAAAATACTTCAGGATGATGAAGACCATGTACTAAGCAATCCTATTTCCTGAATCCATTTCCCTTCTTACAAACTTTACAACAGACACAGGCGTTGGCCAGTAGCCTGGTTACCTGCATGTTTTCTTTGATGTCCTGGGCGTCAAGGCTCAGTGGATGGGTGTGCACTCAGGGCAAGCCTTAGGAAGTCTGGGAGAACGACGAGAGGAAGAACTTTTGCGCCAAGGGTAAAAGAGGAACTGATGTAATGTCCTGGAGAGATTTCACTCTCTGTTCCTGCCCAGGTTTGGGGAACAATGAAGGAGGGAGACAGCGCTCTGGATAATCCAACTCAGATTTCACTGTTGACTCCGGATCTGGGCAGGAGCAGGACTTGGATGGGCTTGATTTATTTACTTCTCTGCAGACACCACGGAAGGAGGAAGTACTTGATGAAGTTGATAACGTTAATGGTGGAGAACTGGAACTGAGGGTATTTAATTCCAGGCTCCTGGTGGTCTGGGCACACCACTGTCG